AAGGGACAAAAAAACCCCTAAGAGCTCAAGTGGATACAGGACCTTCCCTTTCAACAGCAATGACAGCTGATCACCTCAAGCTGTAACAGATAACTCTATCCGTGGGCTAATTTACACCTGTACTTGGCCCACTGTGGAAAATGGAGTTCTTATTACAAAATTACATTCTCAGTTTTGTACAGACATATCCCACCCTGACACAGCTTCTTCATTAAGAAATCTGGTCCCTGAGCATGCATAAAAGATCTAATTTTTATGGTAAATATTTCTGTTCTGTACTTGTGAAGGGAAAAAAAAAAAAAGGATAATGTATTAATATTACATGAGGATGATGAATTATTTTTCTATCCTTTGACACCTATGAAGGATGAAAATGGCACTGCTGTTTTTCAGTCAGCAATCTCTGTGGCACCTGGGTATCCAAAGATCCTAAAATAGTAGGAGACTTCCAGCCTTCTAATGTTAATTTTTAACAGCTCTCTGTATATCTACAAATTCAAAGGGCCAAAGGAAAGCTCATGTTATTCCAGGAATCAAGTAGAATGACCCAGGTAATAATAGACCTGGCATCCTCAGTAATCCTAGACAAAACAGTGATGTTATGTGAATTAAAGCACTCACACTATGTGTGATTCAATCAATAAGGAGTTAAAGGGTAGGAATATAATGAAAGCAGGTCCACATGGCTTTACGGAAACAAGTCTTGACAAGCAGGCCTGACTTCACTTTTTGATGAGATTATAGGTTTGTTTGATCAAGGTAACCACATGGATGTGATAGACTTGGACCTTGCTAATGAATTTGATTTAGTACTGCTTGACATTTTGATTAAAACATTAGCATTATATAGCCTTAATAAAACACATTAAATAGATTAAGATCTGGCTAATTGATAGAGTTCAGCAAGCTGTTCTAACCAGATACTCAGCACTGACTGGGGATATTTTTAGTGGGGCTCTGCAGGCAGGAACACAATGCTTGCTGCCATTCGATGTTCTGGAATTACATAGAAACATGGATAATATTGGCAAAGGTCCTGAAGTCTAATGAGGAATAGATAGCTATGGAAAGTCATAGTTTTGCCTGCACTGGCATAAATGGGTTTCTGGAGTTTGATTATGTCCTGTTTCTTCAGTTCTGTACAAGCCCAGAAGTTCTCTTGCAGGGTAGAGTTGCAAGGCTGTGGTCTAGTCAGCTGCTGATGGGTCATTGCTTTTGACTAGTAATTCCTGTATTATCAAAAGGAGTAGTATGAATCATTTAAAAAGTGTAAACTGTGAAAGCAGGAGCCATCTATGAATGATCTTTAAAAGGCAAAGAAGCCTTATTGCCCACTTCTAGTCGTCTTTATTTAAATTAGCACCAATATAAGCCTGAGATTAAAATATGTTTGCAGCTTTACAAACTCAGGAAATTCTGCTGAAGCAGAATTTGCTATCAAAAAAATAAAACAAGAAAGTCAGATGAGGTAAGCAAAAATGCCCCAAAAAGAACTGACTAGAACATTAATGATCACTCATATACAAAGCATATACAACTTCTACTACTATAACTTTCTGCTCAGCTGATCTAAGCACGTCTTTCCTCGCTCTCTGTTTTCTTGGTTAGCTTTTGAATCGAACTGAGATCAGATAATGCTGAACTAATATTAGTCTTCTTTGCTAGGTTTGAGTCTCACCAATCTTTTTAATATTACTACATGTAGTTACAAGCTTACCTAAAGCAAAAATCATAACATGAGTTCATACTAATTTTGATAATGTAGACTGTTAAAGATGCTCTTTCTCAGCAAAATCTTGCTAGCAAACTGTTATCGTCGTAACATTTGGTTTCTGTTTGACCTTGCAGAACAAGATGACTGATAAATGTAAAGGATAATATCCACAAGAAAACACCGATGAATATATTCTCTCCCCTTGTCTAAAATACAGATTCAGATACATATATTCCACAATGCATTGGGATGTCTTATTTAATTTGTTATATATCAAGTTAACATCCAAAATCTTTCTGTATTTTACAAACCAATTATTAAAACTCTTGGTGTCAAAACTATACAATCTCAGAAGTTTCCTACTAAACTTCAGTACCATCTAAACACAGTGCAAACGAGCAACTGAATGCCTCATCTGTCTACTGGTTTTTCCTCCAATAAACAAAAAGCAAATGCCTTTTTCTGTGTCAAATCCAAATTGTTCCTTTTCCTTTTTTTTTCCTTTCGTTTTTGTAACAAAACTCCTCACCAGCTAGGTCATTCATTGCGACCCTTTTCTGTGCATGTCATCACTATTACCGAGTTCTCCTATGTCCTGCACTGTCCTGTCTCCCTCTGCACCACCCCACAACTCTCACTTCCATTGCTCTGTCTCTGCTTCTGGGTTTGTGTCCAGCTTAGAGGAAAATTTTAAAAAGGGACCTACAGCCTTTATATTCACAAGGAGTGTATAGCAACATCTTTCTCAGTTGGTGGTTTATAAGACAACTCCTCGGTATTTTGTTGGGCAGTATCTGGTTTTGGTGTTTTGCTTTTCTGGTTTTTTTGCTACAAGTCTGTTTTCCTAACAGCACATCAGCAGTGTGAGGATCCTTGCCCTTTTGGATACTCTGTAATCATCCATACCCAGCTCTTCATTCTGATTCTCTGAAAGACAAATGCTGTTGATATTCCAAAAATGTATGCATCTTATTCCGCTTCCAAAGACTTTTTATCATTCTTCTAATTTTGGCCCTTCCTTTTCTTTACTTAAAACTAACCATCTTATCACTGTCCTCCCTAGAACTATGGGACCATTAGATTACCACATTTTCTTTCTCTAACACCCCCTGACTGCCAGTCTATTCTCTTTTTTGCAAGTCTGTCTGTGACATTTTCGTCATCCTAATTATTTCACTGTTAACTTTACCTTTCCCTTTCCTACTTACAAGTCATGTTGTTATCTTTCTTTTGGGTTTTGTTAGCTTGCTTTTTTTTTTTTTTTTTTTTCACCTGTGCTGCTTGTGGTGAATGTAGTATCAGCAGGACGTGGCATTCTTCAAATAGCTTCAATTGAGTTTTGACTTTTCCTTATTCTCCAACGCCTTGCACTTACATCTTTATAGATTTGCTTACTCAGTTCCATCCTCTTTTTCATTTCTGTCTCCTAGCTATAGTCCTCATATATTTTGTTTCCCATACAAAGTTCTGTTCCTTTTTTTCTGGCTACAGCAACCTCTCAACCTTTCCAGTTTCATCAGCACCTACTTTATTTTTCATGAGGACATAAAGGAAACTACAGTTACTCTTTGAACTTCACCATCTTTTCATCGTTCAGATGGGGAGTACCTGTGAACACACAAGAGATTAGCTGAAGTGAGGAAAAAAAACCTATGGAGCTCAGTGTAAGAAGCTGAAATAAACACTTATTACCTTGCTTCATAGAACTGCAGGATTTACAAAAACCGGATTAGGTATTAGAGTATCAGAACTGTACTAAGTGCTCCTGAAGAAGCTGCAAAATGAGGTGCATCGCTTCTATGGTTTTATTATACAAGAAGAGGTGCTATATATTTAGCACCACACAGAACGAGTCTGTTCTTTACACCGTTTTAGTCATTTCCAAGCTTCCAACTACCTTGACAGCGCTGTGCCATGAGTCACTTTAATAGCTACCTCATTTGGTTCTGACCTGGATAACCTTTTTATAGAGCCTGGTGTTCGTTAACTTCAGAGGCCGCAGATGCCACCCCACGTCACCTGCTGCCATGATTTTGGGGCAAACCTCAGGAGAACCACAGGCCTGGGAGGGCAGCCATGGGTTATTTTATTCCCCTCGGGAAGGCAGAGGGGATGTGTACCTGAGGTGCCAGGCGGTACCAGCAGATGGGCTGGACACCCACCTGCACAGGCTGCTTTGGAAATGGAGGCAAGGAAAGGGAGGCGGCTGAAGGCCCTCGCGCAGGGCCTCACCCTGTCCGTCGGCACCGCCACCTCTTCGGACATTTTGCGTTTGTTGGGCCTGAAGCTGAAAAACCAACTTCAGCTCTCTCCACTGAAGGAAGGGCGCCCAGACGGCCCTTTCCCCCCCCGGCCCCGGCCGCCCCTTCCCGCCTCCGCCGCGGGGCGCTCTCGCCCCTCAGAGCGGCCGCAGCGCGCGCGCAACCCGCCGCAGTGGGGCGTGGCCGGCGCGGGGAGGGGTTGTGAGGGGGTGGTGGCCCCGCCCCCTGTCACGAGTCTGGCCCCGCCTCCGGGCTCCGGGGGCGGAGCGTCGCGATGGGAAGGCACCTCCCACAGCGGCGTGCCGCCTTTCCCCATTGGTGGGAGGGCGCGCCCGTCGTGGCAGCGCCCCCAA